GAATTTTGTACACGATCTCATATTATGACGAGAGCCAATTAAAGGCACCATCACGTAATTTTAAACACATAATTCAACGACAAGCAACCATTCATTTGCTTCAAAATGTACACTGAAAATAGTTGGAATTCAGTTATGGTTGAATTGTTTTCATAATGACACCTTGACTGTCACATTGAAATAACAAATACATTTCATTTCAAGGGATGCTTTCAATAATCTTTCTTTCAGTTTCTCACTATAATACCTGTCAACACCAAAAACATTCTAATACAATCAGTTATTTAAAAAAATTGCGTGCGGGGCTACATCCAGACTGAAACTTCGTGTTTCAACATCACTATTGGTGGGTACGTTTTTTTTTTAAAATCCCCTAACTCGTTAGTCTATGTAAAAAAAAAAAAGATTGATATAAAATTTGACGTCGTTTACAAGGCCATTAACCATCTACTTCCATATAAAGATTGGAACAGACAGGGGTTATAGCTCTTCATTGTTGTGAAATGCACAAAGTGTTACCACTTTTGCCACGATGTGTTCTCTTCGTCAACCGTAATGTTTTAACTGCTTACCGCTAGTCCCAATCGGGCGATAGAGTGAAAATAATATGTTCAGTTCAAAGAGTTTTCATAGAAACGCTTCTACTAAATAAAAGCTTCTCTTAGTGGGAGTATCGCGTGATATCATAAAGAACGCTTACCGAGGGCACCAGCCCAAAACCACTGGTTTTTTCTTTCTTTTGAGCTAAAAATGGACGCTTTGATCAAGCAATTAATTACAGATTGACTGATATAGGTGAGAGAGACTTTACACTTCAAATTAGAGTGGAAATATAGCACACCTCATGGTGATTCTGAATCATTGAAAATGTCAGTCACGCTCAAATTTGGACAGTTGATGAAACTGATCAGGAAAACCTTAGAAAACTTCCGATGTATGGAATCACTTAAACAGAAACAAACTCACCCATGTTTCTAAATTTTAGTGTTAGAACAAATTCATTAAGCTCCCATAGCATTATAATGTAAGGTGCAGAATTGAATAAAACAATTATTCCATCTGCACATTGTTGGAGCTTGGTATATGGTTATTCATTAACTGCAGATATTGCATGTTGTACACTCTACAAAAATATGGGTGAACATTTTGGAAAAAAGTCATTAGATAGATGACTTTCCTAACTTGAGTGCCCCCTTGAATAACTGGCCTCACCCCTGAATTTGAAATGAGAATCCTCTTAGTGCCAATCGAAGGATTTATTTCATAGAACCCTGGCTGTAAAATTGCTTTCAAATACAGATTTTATGAACTCCTTTCAAGAAAGACAACGTTTTTATGTGTAACTTGCATTTCAAATGATTGAAGGTAATGTTTATTATGATGATTTTAAAATAACAGCATGAAATATGTTTTATTTGCAGGGGTTCTTCCTAAACTGTCACCAATACTGATAAGAGAGCTGGAAAGCCAGAAGCAGGCTCAGGAATAAAGTCACAAGTCAATCACAAACTCGAGTCACTGGTCACTTTGGGATCAGCATCCAGCTGAATACGATGTCTTATCAGAATCATGTTTTTCACAATTGACAAGCCCAGTCTTACTCTGGTGGTAAAAGAGAAGTCCTCAGAAAGACCTGCTGACCTATTTTTTTGCCTCATGGAAATATTCTCCAAGAAAAAATGGAAGCAGAATACTATGTTTATTCTGTTTTTTACATGACAACAGACTCACTTATAAGCAGTGATTTCATCAATCTTTGCAAACAACGTAAGGATAATAGTATGTTTATTTGGTAAAATGTCATTCAAATAACAACAAATTCATTTAAATTTTTTTTGTATGGGTTCTGCATGACTGAAATACCTGAAAAGCTTTTAGATGACTCAAATAAAAATGATAGCACAACATGTAAAGATGCTTTCTTCTTTCTTTGCCTCAATGATTGCAAAAAATATTTATTGGTTTCAAAAAGCACAAAGTGTTGATGAATACAATAATATTACAACTGCACTCAAGTTGTTCTTACTATTTGTGTGTGAATATCATTAAATACACTATAATACATAAAACTTGTGGATGAAGTTGTCCCTTCACAGCATAAAAGGAAGATCCAGATTTTTGGTGCCAACACCAACATACACTGATCCATACTTTCGTGTGCCTGGTACATGATAGAAAGCAAAGCCTAACCAATGTAGGCTGCGCAGGGTAACCAAGCCACTCCCACGCTCAAACTGGATACTCCACGAGCCTGGAGAGGACACAAACCAACACTAATATAAGTATTAAATAGAGAAGGCAAATAATTTTGGTCATTTTCAGAGTAAGCAGTTCAGAGAAAGTTGTGTATATCCAAGTTTCCAGAAGGTCTTTTTTTCCTTAAAAAAACATACCAGACCAAGTGTAACATGTCAATAATTTCAAAAGTCAACAAAAATAGATAATACTTGATTGATTTTGATACTAACGGTAATCGATCAGCTAATACAAAAGGGAACAAGCAGCCATTAGAAGGTCCTGAAAATTACAAGCCGGGGTTACTCCAGAGGTAAGACTTACCTCCTTTTGGTACATCAGTATCAATTGGATCAAGGAAGTCAATAGCTTTATCCAATTCAGCCTACAAGAAAAAAATCAACCTCACTTTACTAGACAGGTGGATTATTGAAGAAACTTATGATATCAATATTTGAATAATCGACCTCTGATTTCTTTCCATGTAAGAAGGTATGAACAAGCTTCACTGTAAGTGGACATGTGTAAATTAATTACAATTAATCAATGCTTTCACAAATTTTACTTTGCTACATTAAAAAGCACCCACAAAAAAAGTTAGTTGTCATTCAGGTGTTAATGTCATTGTTATAAATATTGATTCAAACCTTTTGAAGAAGAGTCTTCTGGGTGAGTAGAAATGGCTCTCGGAAATGGAAGTAACTGGAGAGCTTGCCTGAATCTGCCACTGACAAACCTGGGTCAATTCATATTTAGGAAAATTAGGATATTTAATCAGTTCTCCTTACTTTCAAAAGAAGAGAAAAAAGAATGGGTCTCCACCTTTTTTTAAAATAAAAGTACCATTTATCAAATGATTATATTGAGTACCTCAACCAAGCTCTGACTGTCAAGAAAAAGGTGCCATCTTTAAAACTTTACAAGCAATCCAATACTAAAGGAAGGCCTTATGACCCTGAGGCATCTTCTTTTCAAGAGTTAATTGACTTGCGTCCCCCAAAAATTCTCATTAATATGTATTAACACTTAAGCAAAGAAAATGATGTGTGAAGGTCCTTCACTAGGAAAGCAATAAAGACTACCTAGAACTCCATTTGCTCATCTAACTGAGAACCTAATATACTTGCAAAGACAGTAACAGCAATTATACCACAATGACACAAAGAATTGTCTAAAGGCTTCCATGCACAAAACCATTGTTGCAGGAGGTATTATGAGGCATCTGAGCTTAAACAGTAAAGTAGCATTTAATTGTATCCAAGTGGTTTACTCCTTCTTCTCACCTTCAAAGCTTCTGTTTGGTTCAACTGTGCCAAGAGCTGTTCGATAGTAAGCTCCCCTGGGTACTATTCTGACATCATAATCAATAGCTTCAATAGTTGTTGCCAGCCTGTCCTCTTCTTTAATCATAATCTAAAAAATTGACGGAATAACATATTAAAAATATCCTCAACACAAAGTAACATTTTGCACACAAGCTAAGAAGCCTGACTGTACAACCACAGCACATTCTGGTTCCATTAACCCCTTTCATAAAGATGGGCATGATTATTATTCCTTTTAATGCATGAGAATAAGCCTTCTTGGCCCTACTGAATTCATTCTTGGCCCTTCCCACTACTTATTAAATGTAATGTGGAACATTTTCTTAAACTAGCACTTAACTGTGTTTCAAGCCCTAGGAAAAAAAGTGACACTCCAACATCAACAAAATTTGAAGGTTTGTACCCCTATTAAATTTTCTGTTCATCATAAAACCTTAACTTACAATGTTTTCCTCCTCTGCTCCATCCAATTTTTCACCATCTGCACCTTCTGCTTTCTTTGTCTCTGTGTGTTCATATTCATATGATGGATCTCCTGTGAAGCGTCCTTTTACAAATGAGCAGTTATGTCTCATGCTCTCTGTCACCACTGGCAGTAAGCCCCAGTGTACACAGTCCAGACTGTGGAAAACACCATAAGTAACACAGTTATTTATCGTTAATCCAGGATGGATCGCAAGTGTGCATCCTCAATAGCCTGGCTATTTTGGTGTCCATTAGTAAATTGTGAAGTTTTCAACTTAAAAGAGGTTGACTAAATAACAATTAAACGTGTGAGAATGCTAAATATTGTTTACAGTGGCCGAACAAAATGTTCAGCTGTTAGAATTAAGCGAATTGTACTTCTTCTGCTTCCCTGTATACCAGCGGGCACAGGGGCAGTAAGGACATACATTGAGTATGCAATTAATCTCAATTTTGAAGATCAGTTCACAACTATGCACTTTTTAAGACATGTCGACTTTAAAACTAAAATAAATTTTTACCCACGATAAGTTATTTTGGATACCTGTAGAGCGTTTTTCTTTCCTTCAGTTCATCTTTACCGACTCCCTGTACAATGAAGTAGTCACTTTTGACTCCAAAGATCTTTCCCCAAAATTTCACTACACGAAACTTGTAATTACTTTTCAAAATAACCAACGAAGATTGTAGAGCTGCCTTCTGCTCTGTACTTAGAATAATGCCACTGCTTCCTACATAGTCTATATTCATATGAAGACCTTCTGCGTCCATGTTTTTTGCAGAAAATTTGACACAACCACCTTCTCCAATCTACTATGGCTGCTTCTCTGTGATTTTGTTACGCGCGCCACTGTTGTCATGGTAGTTTTGGGTGTAACCGCTGGATTTCATGAACGAGCGAAGGAGCTATTTTAATTGGTTTTCTTTACCAAAATTGACCAATCAATGTTCTTGCCTTACTGCTGTTCTGCTTGTTCAAAATGGCGGCTCGTGAACAGATCTCGTTCAGATCAAAGCCTTCTTCTATCCTTACCTGAGCTCAGAATTTTATATATTTCGTAAAGAGAAATACTTGAAATGGAGCTTAAGGCATTTGTGGAGAAATGTAAAGATGAAGGGCATTTCATAGAGATTTTTAACAGTGGAAATCACGACAGACTCTGTTGGAATGGCGGTGCGAAACAAGAAGACTTGGCAATTTCTTTGTCCCATCACTATGACAGGATGGCGGCTGATGACCAATTTGAAGCCAGCATCGAAAAGACGTGGACTGATCTTAAGGAGAAAAATCCCTTCCTTTTCAACGGTTCTAAATTTCGTCTTCATGGCGTAAGGAACGAAGCCGGAGATTCACTGTCTCTTCTGTTAGGACAGACTTGTTATAGAGATTATGTTTGTACAAACATGAACGACAAGCATTGGGGATTTTTAAGAGACTATGGCAAACGTGAATACGCCAACGAACATGCATGTTTTTCTGATGCATTGGGTGTTGGTTCTGTCGTGGAAACAAGTGACAGTAAGTTAATTTTTATTAGAAGAAGCCATCAAGTTTATGAAGATCCAGGTCATTTAGATACTCCAGGAGGACACGCAGAACCCAGTGTAAGCACTTCACCTGTTAAAAATTAAATTGATATTAATTTATTTTAAATCCACTAGCCTTTTATCGCAAATGATGTAATCTGATTGGTTACGATTGTCACAATCTATTCCGTCGAGTTGTCTAAAGCCCGGCCAAACGCACGCAACACTTCAATGCAACATCTTTCTACATTGTCGAGGGCAATGTGTTGCACATGTTTTTCCACCCTGTAACAACACGTTGCGAGATGTTTGATGGTGTTGGATCAAGTTTGAAAATGGTCAAATTTTTGTTGAAACATTTTTGGATGTTGTAAGATGTTCTGTGCGTTTGGCCAGCTCCTTCACAACATGCCACAACACGATCCAACAGTGTTGCAAGATGTTGCATTGAAATGTTGAGTGCTTTTGACTGGGCTTCCACACTCGTTTGTAAACAGTAGTCTGTCAGGCCATCCAACATTTATGAATTCAAGTCAATTTCTATATTGTAAAAAGTGAAACTTTAAAAGTAATTCAAATAACTTACTGGGATCATTCTTTACCTTGGATGTTTTGAGACCTCACCTTCATAATATTAACTAAGACATTCTTTCATTACTTTCAGGAAGTTAAAAAGACAAATAAACAAACTGTGAACAAAAATGTGGTTGATATTGAAGATATGGATGGCAAGGCAGTGGTGTACGAGTTGTTTCATTCTATTGTGCGAGAAGTCAGAGATGAAGTTAGTTTTATATGAAATAAATCTATTTTCTCATTTCCCACCTTATAGAAATCTTCTGCTTCACATTAAGATGTGTGAATGAGACTCTCCTAATTCGTAGGGTTTCCATTCCATAAAGATGAAGGTTACCCCCACTATTTTACTACAATTTCTTGACAGTATGTTGCTTTGAGGGGGAAACAATGGCCCAGTATTTAGCTTGCTGGACACCAGAGCAAGGGGTCTGGGCCCAAGCACTGGCTGAATCACCGTGTTATGTTCTTGGGCAGGCTTGGCTTCATAAACTTGACCTTGTTGATATCAGCTCTGAAGAGAAAATGTGGAAGTAATGAGTACAACAAATTGATCATGGGTAACACCTCAGTTTGATAAATCAAGATCCTTTCCAGATGAATTTCTGGTGGACAACTTCACCTGGTATCTAGAGAAAAAGATCACAGATACAAGTAATCACCTTTGAATAACAAGACACTGATCTTAGTTTTCAAGATCCTTTAATTAACAACATATTCTGTCACTCATATTCAATATTAGGTCAATATTCCAGAAGAATACATCAGTTGGCCACTTTTGACTGGAATTTACCGCAATCACCGCACTGGACAGAAACCTGGGGCTTGTTTTAGGATCAGGTCTCTGTTTTTACTTTTTGTCTGTCTGAAAGGCCTATCATCAAATCTTAAATTGTCCTACTTGGTGATTCATTCAAACCATGCTGATTTTAATACTTGTTTATAATAATCAGTGAAATCTAGAAAGAAAACTGAACAAAACAATAGCAGATGAAATTTACCAATCACAAGGGAGCATCATGCTGAGTAAAGTGGGGGATATACAGTCAAAACCATAGCCTTGATGAAGGGCAGCAGTCTACAACTGAGAAAATTCTCATATTAGACAAGATGGTGCAGTATGGTTCATCAAATGATTATTTTAAACTAGTTAATTAATATCATACTTTCCCACTATGAAAAACTACAAGGTTACTTACACTAAAATTCACTAAAATATGTTTTATTTGCCATGTTTTTTTTGAAGATGCTCTCTCAAAGGCGAGGAAATCCATGAGTTTTATCACAAGGGTGGACCAGAGGCATATGAATCATCCCAGCTGCTGTTGGTGGACTTAGCTGTAAGTTTCTTTCAGCTCTAAATTGGGTCAGTGCAGAGTGCCATCTTGGCCATTGTTTACATTCTCTAAATGCATTTTAATCTTTTTTATTGTTGGTTACAGGAATTCCAGAGGGGCATGGCGTCTTCTCAAGTCAAGGAGTTGTTCAAGGATCTCACTCCAGGATGTAAAGCATGTCTGTATTTTTACTTCAACCTACAAACTAACTTTACTGTATGAAAAGCCCCGCGCAGAAAGTATTCTGGAAGATTAGCAGGCACTACACTTTCGTAATGAAGGCTATTAGTGGGACATGCAACACTGAAGGCGAAATTACTAATTTTGACAATGAATTTAAGAAAGACAATCTTTTATCCAGATTAGTTTTAACATATATTTAGGAGACAATAAGAAACTGTTTTTAACAAATATATTGATGGCTTTCATGAAATTGAAATGGAATATAATGGATTTAATGAAGATATGTGGGTGGGGTTTGTTCTCTTCTACAACTTCGGAAGTTTTAGGGTTCGTAGAAATGGCCAGAATTCTGGATGATTGTAATTCATTTCTATGCATAGGTGTTTGTCGGTCATTTGAATGAGAATAATACCAAGCAGAGAGGGCAGAACATTTTGAAAGCGTTCATCACAAATCAAGCCAATATTCCAACTCAAATTTCCTTTGCTTAGGTCACTAGGTTTATAAGGCTAGATTTTCACCACTCAGCGGTCAAACGTAGGGCATACGCAAGAGGATCGGTTTTGGCCAGCCGCGCGCCGAAGTGCCGTAAAAAATTTCAAAGGAAGACCCAAGAAACAATTGCTGCCTCGCCAAATACATGTAAGCGAAACAAGCATTGATACGTTCATGAAAATATGTAAAAGGAAACAAAAGCAGGGAAAATGAAAACTGGAGAATGTCTTACTCAAGGCTTATTTAATCAACCTGCTGATTTAGCATTTTGTTTGAAGCTTTAGCAAAAAATTTATACGGTTTTCAAATGCCGCGGCTCACTCGTTCGTGTAGTGCAGACCATTTACCGCTGTGGTGATTTCCTTTGCTTTCTCTGGTCCGATATGCGTTCCGTTGGTAAGAAGTCCCCCTCGGATCGGAGTGCGGTCTCATTTCCCAGACAGCAGCTGGTTATCGAGTCCAGTGGTTTAATGCTGAAAGCAAACCTCTGTGACTGTGCAATTTTGGCAGAGACCAGTAGAGAGACCTTATTTTCACTACTGCTTGAGTAGTGTTCGTAACTGCGAAGATCGCATCTATATTCATTTCTTTATTCGCAGTTCACATATACGATTTTCATATATCTACAGTCAGTTATTCATCATTTCACAGGTTTATTTCGGACCAACATATAATGATCAGCTCCCAGTTGGTTGGTTAGCTCAGTTGGTGGAGCACTGCACCGGTATCGCAGAGGTCATGGATTCAAATCCCATACAGGCCTGAATTTTTTTCAGGCCTTATTTTCACTAGTTGCATTTAACGATGTTTCCGGGGGTATTCTCTCCATACAACTTTGTATGTATCGCAAGCATTATAGCGGCCAGACTGCGTCACTACGTCTACTTTAGGAATTAAGGACTACTTTGGATAGTAAGGAGCATACAGCCGTGGTAGGCATTGATCTCTTGAAGCCATTTGACTGCCTTCCTCATAACTTATTGTAATCCAAGCTCAATGCATATAACCTATCAAAGAACAGAGTAAAATGTCTAGCAAGCTACTTAATGAACCAGTTCGAGAGGGTAAAGATTGGTGATGCCTACTCCAGTTGGCTATCTTTTCATAAGGGCGTGCCTCAAGGGTCTGTTCTCAGACCCTTATTATTTAACATCTTCCTCAATGATTTGCTACTCTTGCCGACTTACTCTAATATCAATTCGTATGCTGATGACACTCAACTTTTTCTCCTTGGATTAAACCCAATTACCATTCATACCTCCCTGCAAAGCGACTTCACTATAGCATCTGATTGGTTTCAGTCTAATGGTGACAACATCCAAGCAAATGTCTCTCTATGAGGTTCGGAACTGACACTGATGATCTCTCTGTTTGGCACTGTCATCGATATTGCTATTACAGCAACTTCTTGTTGTCAGTATCGATAAAGATCTTAATTTCAGCATTCATGTTTTAGGAGTATACAAGGAAGAAGTGATTTAAATAAACATTTAATTGTAAAAATTGCGATAAAACATTTCTTAAAAACATTTTAAGATTGCTAAAAAACGACGACGTTTCGACGTTGGCTAAACATTATTATCAATTCCAAAAAAACGTTTGTAAGATGCAGTCTATAGAGAACAAAATAACAGTGGATGATAAAAAGGTTTACCGTAAGAAAAGGAGAATAGTAATTAAACAAAAAGTTTGGTACGTATGGAGTCTGTCCGGATATTTCCTGATTTCCTTTGTGCTAGCACAGTAAGAATTAGTCTTCCATTCAAAGATCAAGGAGCCGCTAATGCGGTTCGGAAGCAGTTGCGTGATCTTAGCCGTAAGATTCTCCCTACATTGCAGCCTGTTTTTGCGGGCAAGCAATTGGTGCAAGATCTTAAACCCAAAGAAGTCAAGCCGTCAATTGTGAATCAGCAATGCGTTGTTTATCGTTTCTCATGTGATCTGTGCGATGCAGATTATGTCGGGTACACAGCCCGACACTTTCATCATCTCATTGCTGAGCACAAATGTTCGGTAATCGGTCGACATTTCGTGGAAGCTCACGGTAGCAACCACCTCTTGAAAGAAAACCAATTTAGAGTTTTAAGAAAGTGCCAGGGAAAATTTGATTGTTTAGTCTTTGAAATGCTGTACATCAAGAATCTTAAGTCTAATTTAAATATCCAGACGGACTCCATATCTGCCAAACTTTTTGTTTAATGACTAATGTTCTTTTCTTACGGTGTAACTTTTTATCATCCATTCTTATTTTGGTATATTTTGTCGTTTTTTGGCAATCTTAAAATGTTATTAAGAGATGCTTTATCGCAGTTTTTTTATAGTTACATGTTAAGGAGACCGTAAGAGAGGTTAGCCGCAAGTTGCAAGTGCTGAAACGTAATAAACACCTCATCCCTACTCATGCCAAAAAGAGGCTGTGTCTGGCTTATTTTCTCCCACATTTAACCTACTGTTCACCCTCTGGTTCCACTGTGACAAGCGAAGTGCTGATATAATTGAGAAACTCAATGAATCCATCCATCGTTTCGTTTTTAATGACTTTAATGATTCGTATAAAAAATTATTACAAATAAATTGATCAGCCTAGCCTGTGAGAACGCCGAATAAATGATATGCTCATAATATATTTGCTAGCATTTAATAATCCAGCTGATTATCTCTGATCTGACTATCTCTGATTATATCTCTGATATTCTGAGAGCCAAACAAGCATCAGTTTACGAGGCAAACTTAGACTAGTTATCCCAAGTGTAAATACAACAAATTATGGTCTTCATTCATTTCGATATCATGCCAGCAAACTATGGAACTTGTTGCCGGATAATGTCCGTGTGTCTGCTTCTCTTGCTCCCTTCAAAATTGCACTAAAAACTGTTCAACTGGATGATGAATGCTGTTCTTTTTGTGACCAATGTTATATTCTTAAATTACCTGTACATACATGTATATTTTTATCTATAATATTTAATTTTTATCCTATTTAATTTTATGTATCTATCTATTTAGTTCACCTATTGATGTACCTTAATTATTGTCTAGAGTTATTTTCTTCGGAGATATTAGCAATTTTGCCATCAACAAATACGACGTTCAACAAAGTCTTTGATTTGACTATTGCCTTAGTATTGTTCATAACTGCGAAGATCGCTTCCATATTCAAAGACCAGTATGTCCGTAATTTATTCATGACAAAGCATAGGTTGGTTTTTGAGCAAAAATAGTCAAACACCGCGTTCTGCAGAGTGCAATCCTAATGAAAAGGATTTGTAAAAAGACCACGACACTAGGTATTCTGTACCTATTAAACTCTAATTTTGAGTTACTACTGAATATCTGTGAGGAAAATGTTTCTTCTTACATAAACAATAACAACACTAAGATGAGTGCACTCAAAGTTAGTCGATTTCCAGCCTTCGGCTTATTATTGGTGCACAGAAAAGAAACCCATGGTACAGATCGTACATCAAAGTTAATGGGATGAAACGTTTTCCAATGTTTCTTCCAACACTTTAAGTGCGATTTCTTCCAGTTGTTCTAACCATTTCCAAAGAAAATAGTATGTTGCGCCGTACGACAAGGAACTGGCTATAGCTATGCCTATAAACGGAATGTAGCGAGCGAATTCCTCGACGACACTCTCGGTAGAGTAGGCTGCAACAAGCCCGCCAATTCGCATGGCAGTGCCCAGCGTTGAACTCAATGCCTTTATTTCAGATTGGGTGTTAACACTCAGCAATGAAAATCTATTTGACCCTTCGTCTGGGAGACCAAGCTGGGTTGTGTAAAAATCGATTTCTCTTTTCATCAACGCGATATCGGCTGCAACGGATGCCCCAGGAATTGGAACAGTTGCAGCCACAGCAGATGCGGTTGCAACATACTTGATGCGTTTTTGAAGAACTTCAACCTTTCGCTTCAGGGTATTTTTTGACAAAATTAAGGCATTACCAATGGTCAGAATGAGACTCTCTTGTTGTCGTAGCGGAAATACAGCTAAAATTGCTTGGGTCAGCTCATCAAATTGATACTCAGTAGGGAAATGGCTGCTTACTAAAAAAATTTCTCTCTCATCTTCGAGCAGGCCTCTTTCAATCAAATTTTGCGAAAGATTCTTTCGTATCTCATCCAGTGTGGCATCTTTATCAAATAAATGCTGTTTGCTTCTTCGCGCATTTTCAACATCTTGATCAATTCTTGCGCGAATGAAGAAAAACTTCTTACCAGTTGATCGAATCATCTCAGCAAGTTTCAAGTCGTCAGCGGTGAATCGATCTTTGGCGAAGATCAGGAAGGTATGGTACTTATCCAATGGCACATTTTTACAGTACATCTCCAGATCACCATTGTAGATTGGATTTGTAATCCCTGGTAAGTCCCAAAACTTAATATTGGGGTTGCTGGGATGATCGTAGCACTCCGGCTCCCTCGTGCACTCAACAACATCGACCTCTGCTGCACCACGATCAATGTCTTGCATTCTATCATAAACAACGAAGGAACTAAAGTTGAAATATTGTTAATTGTTATTATGCTTGATCAGGCACCGCTGGCAGTTTGTGTTTTATTCCTGATCATGTCCTGGTTGACAAGAAGGCTTTCTTCTCACTAAGTTCAATTACGTGACGTAATTAACACCGATGAAAACGACATATTCATTTCGACAGCAAAGTTATCATCAAATGTTATGTACGTATTGACTGAGTGGGAGGGCCAGACGGTCAAAATCCTTGCTTATCCAGAGGGTTATTCATTATGGACAGTAAAATAAAATGACTGAGGTGCAATAAAATGAACAGCTGTGGCAGCAGTAGGATAGGTCGAGGCACTCTAATTGTTGCATAAAAGTACTTAGGGGGATCTGTAAAAATATGTAATATGCAAGCTCTTTTAATTTAACAAAAGTGACTCATTCTTTACTGTTATGTGCTCAGCATGACCTCAATCCTATTGCATCGATGTACTTACCCTCGTATGCGGTTAATAAAAGTAGATTTTCCACTTCCTGAAACACCACATACTGCAAAATGTACTACGACGTTTTTCCAATCGTCAAGTCTGCTTGATACGTATTCGTCAACTCTGGAAACTCCATTTTGCCTCACGTAATCCTGAAGCTCTTCAGCGTTGATCATCTCCCAGCCAGTAAACCCAGCCATGTTTAAAGCAAAGCGATAATAATATTTTGTGATCACAAATCTCGATAGGAGGAACAAGTCGATGCGCCACTGATAATGTGTTTGGCTGCTGTCCAAAGGTTCAAAGTCTGTGAGGGAGATCACGAGCGCCGCAGGCAAAGCAAACGATCAATTCATGAAATCGTCACGTGTTGTAGGACACGGTGTTAAAATACGAGAGGAACCGTTGAGAATTTGATCACATTATTAGGAATGCTATTGGGAAAGAAATATGGTCGATTTATAACGATAAATATTTCGAAATATAAACATTTTACACGTAAAATCAGTGAAACTTATTCACATCATGTAAGTCCGTTGTGGTTTCTGGTGATTTCTGCCGTTTTAAGCTTGTTTTGCCATCACTGTTATTCCTGTCAAAAGACGAAGTCAAGGCTGCACACTCCGATTACGACCATTGTCCACGCGGTAATGGTTTGCGCCCCGAAAATCCTCCCGATCGGCATTTTTCTCAGCCATAGTTAACGATCTAAGATCATTGCACCCTGGAAAATGTCTCAATACCAAAATCCCCGCGCATTTCGCTAAAAACGAGCGTTTTTTACCTGCATTTTCAAGTTCCCTTTTCTCTGGCTATGCTACTGATAACTGGACTGGACACGGCCGCTGAAGAGACTTGGGTACGAGGTCAATTTTCTCTCTACCAGGAGTGGTACGGTAGATTAATATACAATACTTAGACTTAGGGCTTGGCTTTTGGAGTGCGACAGCAAGGAGTACTAAGGCGGCTTTCAGTGATATATGCTGGTTGTAAGAGCTATTATTCTTCTCATTTATATGCAGGGTAATTTGATCGATAAACGTCAAGTCAAAATAAATGTCTATAAATACCAAAGTAACAATGGGTGATAAGAGTTATGGGCTCCTGGTGATAAAAAGCTTTACCGTAAGAAAAGAAGGTAATTTAGTGTTAACAACTGAGTTGAAAACGTACATTAGCCACCGTAAAGGGTAAAAAAGCTGACGTTTCGAGCGTTAGCCCTTTCTCAGAGCGATTCGTAAGAAAAAAAACATTAGAAATTAATGGTTAAGAATATATGAAAGTCATTAACCAAACCAAACATTTTGGCACGTATGGAGTCCGTCTGGATATTCAAATTAGACTTAGGATTCTTGGTGTACAGCATTTCAAAGACTAAACAATCCAATTTTCCCTGACACTTTCTTAAAACTCTAAATTGTTTTCTTTCAAGAGGTGGTTGCTGTGTACCAGACATAATCTGCATCGCACAGCTCACATGAGAAACGATAACCAACGCATTTCCGATTCACAATTGACGGCTTGTTTTCTTTGGGTTTAAGATCTTGCACCAATTGCTTGCTCGGAAAAACAGGCTGCAATGTAGGGAGAATCCTATGGCTATCGTTGTAAATCGACCATATTTCGTTCCCCATACTATTCCTTATTACGTGTTCAAATTTTCAACGGTTCCTCTCTTAACTTAACACCGAGTCACAAGCGTGACGCGTTCATGAAATGAACATTCGCTTCTTCTTGAAGCTCACGGTAGCAACCACCTCTTGAAAGAACACCAATTTAGAGTTTTAAGAAAGTGCCAGGGAAAATTGGATTGTTTAGTCTTTGAAATGCTGTACATCAAGAATCTCAAGTCTAATTTAAATATCCCCAGATGGACTCCATATCTGCCGGACTCTTTCTTTAATTACTTTTGCTCTTTCCTTACGGTAAAGGTTTCTATCATCCATTGTTATTTTGATATATTTCATGGTTTTTTAGCAATCTTAAAATATATTTAAGAAATGCTTTATCGCAGTTTTTTTATAGTTACATGTTAAGGAGACCATAGGAAAGGTTGTCCGCAGCTTGCAAGTTCCGAAACGTGATAAACACCTCATCCCTAGTCATGCCAAGAAGAGGCTGTGTCTGGCTTATTTTCTCCCACACTTAACCTACTGTTCCACCGTCTGGTTCCATTGTGGCAAGCGAAGTGCTGATATAATTGAGAAACTCAATGAATCCATTCATCATTTCTTTTTTTTATGACTTTAATAATTCGTATTGAAAATTATTACAAGAAATTAATCAGCCTAGCCTAAGAGAACGCCGAATAAATGATATGCTCATATTAGTTTTTCTAGCATTTAATAATGCAGCGCCTGGTGATAACAAAAATAACAACTTTTATTTATACTGCAAAAATAGATCAGCTGAATTTAAATATAAAGACAGCTGGTATAAACCTATATGCAGTTGATAAAATATTTCAAATTAGTGTTAGCAATAAAAAAATATTAAAAACTAAAAGGTAAGATTTGGTTACAACAATAACGGCTATATATATATTTATATATACATATATAAAGAAAAAATAGAGAAAAACTATTTGCTACATTTGTGCTGTATTCGTCCTGCTCTAACAAATACTGAAATGTTTTTGACTTAAAAGATCTTAAATTTAAGTCTTTAGCTCGCAAAATATTTCTGATCTTTTTCAAAATATTTCTGATCTTTTTACTGAGCGGCAAACAACCATCAGTTTACGAGGCAAACGTAGACTAGTTATCCCAGGTGTAAATACAACAAATTGTGGTCTTCATTCACTTCGATATCATGCCAACAAACTATGGAACTTTCTGTCGGATAATGTCCGTGTGTCTATTTCTCTCGCTGCCTTCAAAATCGCACTAAAAACTGTTCACCTGGATAATGAATGCTGTTCTTTTTGTGACCAATGTTAAATTCTGAAATTACCCGTACATACATGTATATTTTTATCTATAATATTTAATTTTTATCCTATTTAATTTTATGTATCTATTTATTTCGCCTATTAATGCACTTTAATTATTGTGTAGAGATATTTTCTTCGGAATATTAGCAATCTTGCCATCAACGAATACGACGTTCAACAAAGTCTTTGAATTGACTACTGCTTAAGTAGTGTTCATAACTGCGAAGATCGCTTCTATATTCAAAGACCAGTACGTCCGTAATTGATTCATGACAAAGCATAGGTTGGTTTTTGAGCAAAAATAGTCAAACACCGCGTTCTGCAGAGTGCAATCCTGATGAAAAGGATTTGTAAAAAGACCATGACACTAGGTATTCTGTACCTATTAAACTCTAATATTGAGTTATTACTGAATATCTGTGAGGAAAATGTTTCTTCTTACATAAACAATAACAACACTAAGGTGAGTGCACTCAAAGTTAGTCGATTTCTAGCCTTTGGCTTGTTATTGGTGCACAGAAAAGAAACCCATGGTACAGATCGTACATCAAAGTTAATGGGATGAAACTTTACGCAATTTTTCTTCCAATACTTTAAGTGCGAATTCTTCCAGTTGTGCTAACCATTTCGAAAGAAAATAGTATGTTGCGCCGTACGACAAGGAACTGGCTGTAGCTACGCCAATAAACGGAATAGAGCGAGAGAATTCCCGGACGACACTCTCGGTACAGTTTTTTTCAAGAAGCTCGCCAATTCGCGTGACAGTGCTCACCGTTAGACTGAATGCCTTTAATTCAGATTGGGTGTTTAAACTCAGCAATGAAAATGCATTTGACCCTTCCTCAGGGAGACCAAGCTGGTTTATGTAAAAATCTACTTCACTTTTAATTAGCGCGATATCAGCTACAACGGATGCCCCGGGAATGGGAATAGCTGCAGCGAAAGCAGATGCGACTGCAACATACTTGATGCGCTTTTTAAGAACTTCAACCTTTTCCTTCAGGGTGTTTTTTGACAAAAGTAAGGCATTATCAATGGTCAGAGTGAGACTCTCTCGTTGTCGTTGCGGCAATACAGCTAAAATTGCTTGAGTCAGCTCATCAAATTGATACTCAGCAGGAAAGTGGTTGCTTATTAAAAAAATTTCTTTCTCATCTTCGAGCAGGCCTCTTTCAATCAAATTTTGCGAAAGTTTCTTTCGTATCTTATCCAGTGTGGCATCTTTATCAAATAAATGCTGTTTGCTTCTTCGCGCATTTTCAACATCTTGATCAATTCTTGCACGAATGAAGAAAAACTTCTTACCAGTTGATCGAATCCTCTCTGCAAGTTTCAAGTCGTCAGGAGTCAATCGATCCTTGGTGAAGATCAGGAAGGTATCGTACTTATCCAATGGCACATTTTTACAGTACATCTCCAGATCACCATTGTAGATTGGATTTGTTATCCCTGGTAAGTCCCAAAGCTTAATATTGGGGTTGCTAGGATGATCGTAGCACTTCGGCTCCCTCATGCACTCATCAACATCGACCTCTGCTGCACCAAGATCAATGTCTTGCATTCTATCATAAACAACGAAGGAACTAAAGTTGAAATATTGTTAATTGTTATTATGCTTGATCAGGCACCGCTGGCAGTTTGTGTTTTATTCCTGATCATGTCCTGGTTGACAAGAAGGCTTTCTCCTCACCTAGTTCCACATCACGTACTGATTAACACCGATGAAAACGACATATTCATTTCGACAGCAAAGTTATCATCAAATGTAATGTACGTATTGACTGAGTGGGAGGGCCAGACGGTCAAAATCATTTCTTATTCAGATGGTTATTCATTATGGACAGTAAAATAAAATGACTGAGGCGCAATAAAATGAACAACTGTGGCAGCAGTAGGATAGGTCGAGGTACTCTAATTGTCGCATAAAAGTACTTAGGGGGATCTGTCAAAACATGTAATATGCAAGCTCTTTGAATTCAACAAAAGTGACTCATTCTTTATTGTTATGAGCTCAGAACGTCCTCAATCCTAGTGCATCGATGTACTTACCCTCGTATGCGGTTAATAAAAGTAGATTTTCCACTTCCTGAAACACCACATACTGCAAATTGTACTACGACGTTTCTCCAATCGTCAAGTCTGCTTGATACGTATTCGGCAACTTTGGAAACTCCATTTTGCCTCACGTAATCCTGAAGCTCTTCAGTGTTGATCATCTCCCAGTCAGTAAACCCAGCCATGTTTAAAACAAAGCAATAATATTTTGTGATCACAAATCTCGATAGGAGGAACAAGTCGATGCGCCACTGATAATGTGTTTGGCTGCTATTTAAAGGTTCAAAGTCCGTGAGGGAGATCACGAGCTCAGCTCTCGAGAAAAGGCAAACGATTATGTTTTGAAGGCGTCACGTGTTGTGTGACTCGGTGTTAAGTTATGAACTGTTGAGAATTTGATCACGTTATTAGGAATACTATGGGGAAAGAAAGATGGTCGATTTACAGCGATAAATATCTCGAAATATGAACATTTTACACCTAAAATAAATGAAACTTATTTAAATCGTGTGAGCTCGCTGTGTTTCTGGCGATTTGTGCCGTTTTAAGCTTTTTTTGCCATTATTGTAATACCTGTCAAGACAAAGTCAAAGCCGCACACTCTGATTTCAACCTTTATCCACGCGGAGATGGTTTGCTGCCGATCGGCATTTTTCTCAGCCGTAGTTAACGATCTAAGATCATTACACCCTTTGCAAATGTCTCAAGACCAAAACTGCTTGCGCATTTCGCTAAAAATAGGCATTTTCTACCTGCATTTTCAAGTTCGCTGCTCTCTGGCTATGCTCTTGATAACCAGACTAGACACGGCCGCGGAAGAGACTTGGGCACGAGGTCAATTTTCTCTTCAATTTTCCAGGAGTGGTACGGTAGATTAATGTACAACACTTCGACTTAGGGCTTGGCTTTTAGAGTGCGAGAGCTAGGAGTACAAAGGCGGCTTTCATTGGTATGTGCTGGTTGTAAGAGCTATTATTCCTCTCATTAATATGCAGGGTAATTTGATCGATAAACGTCAAGTCAAAAAAAAATATTTGTAAGTAGCAGTCTAATTGTGGGAAATTGTAGCAAATGCTGTTGGAGAGTGCTCAATACACATGAGCGTAGGGCAAAATGCAGTTCAAAATGACTAAAATGAAACACGCATGATTCCCCGGTTGATGAAGGTGTCGGGCTATGTACCCGACATAAACTGCATCGCACAGATCACATGAGAAATGATAAAAAACGCATTCCCGATTCACAATTGACAGCTTGATTTCTTTGTGCTAGCACAGTAAGATTTAATCTTCCATTCAAGATCAAAGGGCCGCTAATGCGGTTCGGAAGCAGTTGCGTGATCTTAGCCTTAAGATTCTCCCTGCATTGCAGCATGTTTTTGTGAGCAAGAAATTGGGGCAAGATCTTAAACCCAAAGAAATCATGCCATCAATTGCGAATCGGCAGTGCGTTGTGTATCATTTCTCATGTGGTTTGTACGATGCGGATTATGTCGGGACACAGTCCGACACCTTCATCAACGCATTGCTGAACACAAATATTCGGCAATCGGTCGACATTTCGTAAAAGCTCACAGTAGCGACCACCTCTTGAAAGAAAACCAATTTAGAGTTTTAAGAAAGTGCCAGGGAAAATTGGATTGTTTAGTCTTTGAAATGCTGTACATCAAGAATCTCAAGTCTAATTTAAATATCCCCAGACGGACTCCATATCTGCCGGACTCTTTCTTTAATTACTTTTGCTCTTTCCTTACGGTAAAGGTTTCTATCATCCATTGTTATTTTTTTATATTTCATGGTTTTTTAGCAATCTTAAAATATTTTAAGAAATGCTTTATCGCAATTTTTTTATAGTTACATGTTAAGGAGACCATAAGAAAGGTTGTCCGCAGGTTGCAAGTTCCGAAACGTGATAAACACCTCATCCCTAGTCATGCCAAGAAGAGGCTGTATCTCGCCTGTTTTCTCCCACACTTAACCTATTGTTCCACTGTTTGGTTCCATTATGGCAAGCGAAGTGCTGATATAATTGAGAAACTCAATGAATCCATTCATCGTTTCGTTTTTAATGACTTTAATAATTCGTATGAAAAATTATTACAAGAAATTAATCAGCCAAGCTTGAGAGAACGCCGAATAAAATGATATGCTCATATTAGTTTTTCTAGCATTAAATAATGCAGCACCTATTTATAATAATAATAATAATAATAACTTTATTTATATTGCAAAAATAGATCAGCTGAATTTAAATATAAAGACATATATGGTATAAACCTATGTGAGTTGATAAAACATTTGAAATTAGTGTTAGCAATAAAAAAAGATTATTAGAAACTAAAAGGTAAGATTTGGTTACAAAAAATAACAGCTATATAAATATATATAAAGAGAAAATAGAGAAAAACTAATTGCTACATTTGTGCTGTATTCTGTCTTGCTCTAACAAATACTGAAATGTTTTTTACTTAAAAGATCTTAAATTTAAATCTTTAGCCCGCAAAATATTTCTGATCTTTTTCAAAACATTTCTGATCTTTTTCAAAATATTTCTGATCTTTTTCAAAACATTTCTGATCTTTTTCAAAACATTTCTGATCTTTTTCAAAATATTTCTGATCTTTTTACTGAGCGGCAAACAACCATCAGTTTACGAGGCAAAAGGTAGACTAGTTATCCCAGGTGTAAATACAACAAATTATGGTTTCCATTCATTTCGATATCATCCTAGCAAACTATGCAACTTACTTCCGGAGAATGTCCGTGTGTCTACTTCTCTTGCTGCCTTCAAAATCGCACTAAAAACTGTTCAACTGGATAATGAATGCTGTTCTTTTTGTGACCAATGTTAAATTCTGAAATTACCTGTACATTCATGTATATTTTGATCTATAATATTTAATTTTCATCCTATTTAATCTTATGTATCTATCTATTTATTTCGCCTATTGATGTACTTTAATTATTGTGTAGAGATATTTTCTTCGGGATATTAGCAATTTTGCCATCAACGAATTCGAAGTTAAATTAAGTCTTTGATTTGACTACTGCTTAAGTAGTGTTCATAACTGCGAAGATCGCTTCTATATTCAAAGACCAGTATGTCCGTAATTGATTCACGACAAAGCATAGGTTGGTTTTTGAGCAAAAATAGTCAAACACCGCGTTCTGCAGAGTGCAATCCTGATGAAAAGGATTTGTAAAAAGACCACGACACTGGGTATTCTGTACCTATTAAACTCTAATATTGAGTTATTACTGAATATCTGTGAGGAAAATGTTTCTTCTTACATAAACAATAACAACACTAAGGTGAGTACACTCAAAGTTAGTCGATTTCCAGCCTTCGGCTTGTTATTGGTGCACAGAAAAGAAACCCATGGTACAGATCGTACATAAAAGTTAGTGGGATGAAATGTTACCCAATGTTTCTTCCAATACTTTAAGTGCGAATTCTTCCAGTTTTTCTAACCATTTCGAAAGAAAATAGTATGTTGCAGCGTACGACAAGGAACTGGCTATGGCTATGCCAATAACCGGAATGAAACGAGCGAATTCCTCGACAACACTCTCGGTAGAGTAGGCTGCTACAAGCCCGCCAATTTGCATGGTAGTGCCCAGCGTTGTACTCAATGCTTTAATTTCAGATTGGGTGTTGAAACTCAGCAATGAAAATCTATTTGACCCTTTTTCTAGGAGGCCGAGCTGGCTTGTGTAAAAATCTATTTCCCTTTTTATAATGGCGATATCGGCCACAATGGATACCCCGGGAACTGGACAACTTTCCGCCATTGCAGATGCGATAGCAACATACTTGATGCGCTTTTTAAGAACTTCAACCTTTCCCTTCAGGGTATTTTTTGACAAAAGTAAGGCATTATCAATGGTCAGAATGAGACTCTCTCGTTGTCGTTGCGGCAATATAGCTAAAATTGCTTGAGTCAGCTCATCAAATTGATACTCAGCCGCAAAGTGGTTGCTTACTAAAAAAATTTCTTTCTCATCTTTGAGCAGGCCGCTTCCAATCAAACGATACGAAAGTTGCTTTCGTATCTTATCCAGTGCGGTATCTTTATCAAATAAATGCTGTTTGCTTCTTCGGGCATTTTCAACATCTTGATCAATTCTTGCACGAATGAAAAAAAACTTCTTACCAGTTGATCGAATCCTCTCTGCAAGTTTCAAGTTGTCATTGGTCAATCGATCCTTGCCGAAGATCAGGTAGGTATGGTATTTATCCAATGGCGCAATTTTACAGTACATCTCGAGATCACCATTGTAGATTGGATTTGTTATCCCTGGTAAGTCCCAGAACTTAATATTGGTGTTGCTGGGATGATCGTAGCATTTCGGCTCGGTCGTGCACTCATCAACACCGACCTCTGCTGCCTCAGGATCGGTGTCTTCCACTCTATCATAAACAATGAAGGAACTAAAGTCGAAATATTGTTCATTGTTATTAAGCTTGATCAGGCACCGCCGGCAGTGTTTTTTTTTCCTAATCATGTCCTAGTTGACAAAAAGGCTTTCTTCTCACTTAGTTTAATATCATGATAAGCAAATTTAAAACAGCGATGAGAACGACATATTCATTTCGACAGCAAAGTTATCATCAAATATAATGCACGTATTGACTGAGTGGGAGGGCCAGACGGTCAGAATCCTTACTTATTCTGATGGTTATTTATTATGGACGGTAAAATAAAATGACTGAGGCGCAATAAAATGAACAGCTGTGGCAGCAGTAGATAGGTCGAGGCACTCTAATTGTTGCATAAAAGTACTTAGGGGAATCTGTAAAAAATGTAATATGCAAGCTCTTTTAATTCAACAAAAATGACTCGTTCTTTACTGTTATGAGCTCAGCATGTCCTCAATCCTAGTGCATCGATGTACTTACCCTCGTATGCGGTTAATAAAAGAAGATTTTCCAGCTCCTGAAACACCACATACTACAAAATGTACTACGACGTTTCTCCAATCGTCAAGTCTGCTTGCTACGTATTCCTCAACTCTGGAAACTCCATTTAGCTTCACGTAATCCTGAAGCTCTTCAGTGTTGATCATCTCCCAGCCAGTAAACTCAGCCATGTTTAAAACAAAGCGATACTATTTTGTGATCAAAGATCTCGTCCGGAGGAACAAGTAGATGTTCCACTGATAACGTACTTGGCTGCTGTCCAAAGGTTCAAAGTCTGTATGGGTGATCTCAAGCGGCGAAAGCTCACGTCTCGAGTAAAAGCAAACGATTAATTTATGAAAGAGTCAAGTGTTGTGTGACTCGGTGTTAAGTTATGAGACGAACCGTTGAGAATTTGAACACGTCAAAAGGAGTACTACGGGGAAAGAAATATGGCCGATATACAACGATAAAACTTTCGCAATATGAACATCATACATGTAAAGTCAATGAAACTTACTCACATCTTGTGAGTACGCTTTTTTTTCTGGCGATTTCTGCTGTTTTAAGCTTGTTTTACCATCACTGTTATTCCTGTCTCAAGACGAAGTCAAAACTGCACACTCCGATTTCGAAAGTTGTCCACGCGGAGGTGGTTTGCACCCCGAAAATCCTCCCGATCGGCATTTTTCTCAGCCATTGTTAACGATCTAAGATCATTGCACCCTGGGAATTATCTCAATACCAAAACTCTCCGCGCATTTCACTAAAAAACGAGCGTTTTCTACCTGCATTTCCAAGTTCGCTTCTCTCTGTCTATGCTCTTGATAACCAGACTGGACACGGCCGCGGAAGAGACTTGGGTACGAGGTCAATTTTCTCTCTACCAGGAGTGGTACGGTAGATTAATGTGCAATACTTCGACTTAGGGCTTGGCTTTTGAAGTGCGACAGCTTGGAGTACAAAGGTGGCTTTCAGTGATATGTTCTTGTTGTCAGAGCTATTATTCTTCTCAATAATATGTCGGGTAATTTGATCGATAAACATCAGGTCAAACATAAGTATTTGTAAGTAGCAGTCTATATATACCAAAATAACAATGCCATAAGAAAAAAACACTAGTAATTAAACAAAAAGTCCGGCACGTATGGAGTCCGTCTGGGGATATTTAAATTAGACTTAAGATTCTTGATGTACAGCATTTCAAAGACTAAACAATCAAATTTTCCCTGGCATTTTCTTAAAACTCTTAATTGGTTTTCTTTCAAGAGGTGGTTGCTACAATGAGCTTCCACGAAATGTCGACCGATTGCCGAATCTTTGTGCTCAGCAATGCGTTGATGAAGGTGTCGGACTGTGTAGCCGACTCACAATTGACGGCTTGATTTCTTTGTGCTGGCATAGTAAGAATTAGTCTTCCATTCAAAGATCAAGTGGCCGCTAATGCGGTTCGGAAGCAGTTGCGTGATCTTAGCCATAAAATTCTACCTCCATTGCAGCCTGTTTTTGCGAGCAAGCAATATTGGTACAAGATCTTAAATCCAAAGAAAACAAGCCGTCAATTTTGAATCGATAATGCACTGTTTATCATTTCTCATGTGATCTGTGCGATGCAGATTAGGTCGGCTACACAGCCCGACACCTTCATTAACGCATTGCTGAGCACAAATATTCGGCAATCGGTCAACATTTCGTGGAAGCTCACGGTAGCAACCACCTCTTGAAAGAAAACCAATTTAGAGTTTTAAAGAAGTGCCAGGGAAAATTGGATTGTTTAGTCTTTGAAATGCTGTACAACAAGAATCTCAAGTCTAATTTTAATATCCAGACGGACTCCACATCTGCCAAACTTTTTGTTTCATTACTAATGTTCTTTTGTTATGGTAAAGCTTTTATCACCCATAGTTATTTTGGTATATTTCGACGTTTTTTAGCAATCTTATAATGTTTTTGAGAAATACTTTATCGCAATTTTTTACAGTAACATGTTAAGGAGACCATAAGAAAGGTTGTCCGCAGGTTGCATGTTCCGAAACGTGATAAACACCTCATCCCTAGTCATGCCAAGAAGAGGCTGTATCTCGCTAGTTTTCTCCCACACTTAACCTATTGTTCCACCGTCTGGTTCCATTGTGGCAAGCGAAGTGCTGATATAATTTAGAGACTCAATGAATCCATTCATCGTTTCGTTTTTAATGATTTTAATAATTCGTATTGAAAATTATTACAAGAAATTAATCAGCCTAGCCTAAGAGAACGCCGAATAAATGATATGCTCATATTAGTTTTTTTAGCATTTAATAAAACAGCGCTTGGTTATAATAACAACGATAACTTTATTTACCCTGCAAAAATAGATCAGCTGAATTTAAATATAAAGACAGCTGGTATAAACCTATGTGCAGTTGATAAAATATTTCAAATTAGTGTTTACTTAGCAATAAAAAAAAATTATGAAAACGACAAAAAGGTAAGATTTGGTTGCCACAGTAACAGCTCAATAATATATTTATATGTATAAAGAAAAAATAGAGAAAAACTATATGCTACAATTGTGCTGTATTCTGTCTTGCTCTAACAAATACTGAAATGTTTTTGACTGAAAAGATCTTAAATTTAAGTCTTAAGCCTGAAACATATCTCTGATCTTTTTAAAAATATTTCTGATCTTTTTATTGAGCGGCAAACAAGCATCAGTTTACGAGGCAAACGCAGACTAGTTATCCCAAGTGTAAATACAACAAATTATGGTCTTCATTCATTTCGATATCATGCCAACAAACTATGGATACTCCGCGAATTGGAACACTTGAAGCGAAAGCAGATGCGGAGTAACATGCTTGATGCGCTTTTTAAGAACTTCAACCTTTCCCTTCAGGGTATTTTTTGACAAAAGTAAGGCATTATCAATGGTCAGAGTGAGACTCTCTCGTTGTCGTTGCGGCAATGTAGCTAAAATTACTTGGGTAGCTCATCAAATTGATATCCCAAGTGTAAATACAACAAATTATGGTCTTCATTCATTTCGATATCATGCCAACAAACTATGTAACTTACTGCCGGGTAATGTCCGTGTGTCTGCTTCTCTTGCTGCCTTCATAATTGCACTAAAAATTGTTCAAGTGAATGATAAATGCTGTTCTTTTTGTGACCATTGTTAAATTCTGAAATTACCTGTACATTCATGTATATTTTGATCTATAATATTTAATTTTCATCCTATTTAATCTTATGTATCTATCTATTTATTTCGCCTATTGATGTACTTTAATTATTGTGTAGAGATATTTTCTTCGGGATATTAGAAATTTTGCCATCAACGAATTCAAAGTTAAATAAAGTCTTTGATTTAACTACTGCTTAAGTAGTGTTCATAACTGCGAAGATCGCTTCTATATTCAAAGACCAGCATGTCCGTAATTGATTCATGACAAAGCATAGGTTGGTTTTTGAGCAAAAATAGCAGAGTAGCAGAGTGCAATCCTGATGAAAAGGATTTGTAAAAGGACTACGACACTGGGTATTCTGTACCTATTAAACTCTAATATTGAGTTACCACTGAATATCTGTGAGGAAAATGTTTCTTCTTACATAAACAATAACAACACTAAGATAATTGCACTCAAAGTTAGTCGATTTCCAGCCTTCGGCTTGTGATTGGCGCACAGAAAAGGAACCACGGTACAGATCGTACATCAAAGTTAATGGGATGAAACGTTTTCCAATGTTTCTTCCAACACTTTAAGTGCGATTTCTTCCAGTTTTCCCAACCATTTCGAAAGAAAATAGTATGTTGTGCCGTACGACATGGGACTGGCTATAGCTATGCCAATAAACAGAATGTAGCGAGAGAATTCCTCGACGACACTCTCGGTAGAGTAGGCTGCTACAAGCCCGCCAATTTGCATGGCAGTGCCCAGCGTTGTACTCAATGCCTTTATTTCAGATTGGGTGTTGAAACTCAGCAACGAAAATCTATTTGACCCTTCGTCAGGGAGACTAAGCTGGCGTATGTAAAAATCGATTAATTTTTTATTATGGCGATATCGGCCACAATGGATACTCCGGGAATTGGAACACTTGAAGCGAAAGCAGATGCGGAGTAACATGCTTGATGCACTTTTTAAGAACTTCAACCTTTCCCTTCAGGGTATTTTTTGACAAAATTAAGGCATTATCAATGGTCAGAGTGAGACTCTCTCGTTGTCGTTGCGGCAATGTAGCTAAAATTGCTTGGGTAGCTCATCAAATTGATACTCAGCAAGATAGTGGTAAGCTTACTTCTTTCTCAACTTTGAGCAGGCCTGTTCAATCAAATTTTGCGAAAGTTTCTTTCGTATCTTATCTAGTAAGGCATCTTGCTTTTTCGCGCATTTTCAACATCTTGATCGATTCGTGCGCGAATGAAGAAAAACTTCTTACCAGTTGATCGAATGCTCTCTGTAAGTTTCGAGTCGTCAGCGGTCAATCGATCTTTGGCGAAGATCAGGTACGTATTGTAAAAATATGCCATTGGATAAGTACCTTGGGACTTATTCAGAAGGTTATTCATCATGGTCAGTAAAATAAAATGACTGAGGTGCAATGAAATGAACAGCTATGGCAGCAGTAGGAAAGGTCGAGGCACTCTAATTGTTGCATAAAAGTACCTAAGGGGACCTGTAAAATATGTAATATGCATGCTCTTTTAATCTAATAAAATTAAATTGACTCGTTCTTTACTGTTATGTGCTCAGCACGTCCTCTATCCTAGTGCATCGATTTACTTACCCTCGTATGCGGTTAATAAAAGAAGATTTTCCAGCTCCTGAAACACCACATACTGCAATTGTACTGCGACGTTTCTCCAATCTTTAAGTCTCTTGATATGTATTCGTCAACTCTGGAAACTCCATTTTGCTTCACGTAATCCTGAAGCTCTTCAGCGTGGGCCGTCTCCCAGAAAGTAAATCCAGCCATGTTTAAAACAAAGTGATCACAGATCTCGACAGGAGGAACAAGTCGATGCACCTCTGATAACGTATTTGGCTGCTGTCCAAAGGTTCAAAGTCTGTGAGGGAGATCGCAGGTGGCCCAAACTCACGCCTCGAGAAAAAGCAAACAATTAATTCATGAAAACATCAAGCGTTGAATGATTCGGTGCTAAGTTACGAGAGGAAGCGTTGAGAATTTGACCACGTTATAAGGAATA